GTGTAGGGCCACAGCTGGCACAGCACTGCCAGGCAAGGGGAGCGGGCAGCATGTCCCTGTAGGGCCTGGGGACCCCCAGACCCAGCTGGTGCTGCTTACGGGATGTGTTGGGCTCCCTGTGTCAGGGGGTTGGGTCAACACCCAGCAGCAAAAAGAAATGGGGTTTGCAGGTGGGAGACCCCAAACCTGAGGCAGCAGGGTAGGACATAGGGGGAGAGAGGTGGGCAGAGAGTCAGGTGTTTCCAGGAGCACCCAGCACTGGTGAGGCTCATGGGCGCCATGGCTCAGCTGGTCAAAGCGCCTGTCTAGTAAACAGGAGATCCTGGGTTCGACTCCCAGTGGTGCCTCAGCCTGGGGGGCTCTTTTTCCTCCCTGTCCCAAGTTGGGGACACTTCTGGGGGTCTTTGTCCTGCTCTGAGAACTGTCAGTCCCCAGCATGCCATCCCAGGTGACTCCACTCTAGGGGTAAAAAGTTTCCTTCTTCTTCCTCTCCCTTCTCTCCTCACAGTGGAGAAATGCCCCAAACTGTCTACAGAAACCAGGGAATTTGGGAAATAAGAGATACATTAGGTGCTGTCTGGACCCCCATAATCTTCTTTATTACTTTGCCCAGCTAGTTCTGAATCATGTAGGAAAACCCTCTGGACACAGGTTGTGTGTGGGTGAGTAGTGGAGAAGCTTAGTGCACGAGTTTTCATGGCAAAAATAAGTGCCACATTGCCCTTTGCCACCCTCTGAACACAGAAGGTAACAGGGAGAGGGGCAAATAAATCACAAATGCTTGCTTGTCTCTCTACCCTGCTGTGACAGAGGCTGCCAGGGGTCTCCCTGCCAAGCYTGGCTTGCCGAAGGGCACCCTGGAGAATCAGCCCTGGCTTTGCTGCCTGTCTTCAAGAAAAGCAAGAAAAGTCTGCTAAAAAAATTCTGCTAAAAAAACCGGCATGTCACAGGGGACGAGGTGGCCGAGTGGTTAAGGCGATGGACTGCTAATCCATTGTGCTCTGCACGCGTGGGTTCGAATCCCACCCTCGTCGGGTTCCAGGGGCTTTGTCTAGGAGAGTAGGCTTTTTGGTGCAGCCCCACAGTATCCTTCTGCTCTCCGTGTTTTGYTCTGATGTGTTAAACACACATCACCTCCGCCCTTGGATTGCTGCTTCCATGGGCTGAATCTGCTTCTGGTGGCTCAGATGCTGGTGTGGCCCTTCCTCTGTGCAAGGCCCCAGGGGAGCAGGGTGCTGTCACTGTCCCCCTTTGTCCCTCAAGCCCACCTGCCAGCCTCTGTCCTGCCATCCCAYTGCCTCTTCTCCAGGACCAGTGAACTGCAGACAGGAAAAATCAGGATTGGGCTTCCCTGGGCATCCCCAAGGATGCCAAAGGGAGCCAAAAGCTGCCCTGGATGTCTCTGGCAGGTCCCAGAGATGCTTGTCCTGAGGATGGCAGAGCTGCTGTGCACTGGCAGCTCCCTCCTGTGCCTGCAGGAGTGCTCACAGTGGAGATTCCTGGAGGCAGGAGAGGGTGACCCATGGCAAGATGAAGAGGAAAGAGGTACAACTCCCTTTGGAATCTCRGAGGTCTTGCAGAGAGGGAAAAGCTGCATTTGGCAGTGTCTGTGCTTCGAGGCACCTGGGGAAAGGCATCTCGCCAGCCATGCTGGTGCTTTCCCTCTCCACTCCTCTCCACTGGTGAGGATGTGGCCAAGCACTGCCATGGCTTCAAGCCAAGGGGAGGATGCTCAGGCTTAGCTGCCCACACCTTTTGACCTTTCCTGTGGCTGCATTTCCTTCCCATGCCTTGGGGAGATGTCCCTGGGGACCAGTGAGGAGCTGCTTCCCTCCATCAGCTTCTCCAGAGCCAGAAACCAKCATCAGGCTGCTGGGAAACACTAGCCCCATCCCATCCCACTGCTGAGAGATGCTGCGGTGCTTGGCCAGCTCTGCCACCCCAGGAAAAGGGGGTGGCCCTGCCTGGACAGTCAGGTGCCCTGCAAGGGATCTTTGGGAGACTTCCTGGGAAATCTGCATGGCTTTGGGTCCAGCCCTGGAAAGAGACCACCCTGCAGCTGGAGATGGTGAAATGGGCTGGGGTGATGAGTGCAGGGGCATGGCGATGCATGGCAGGGGGATTGCTTCTACAGGATGGCACCTGAGACATTCAGGGCACAGGCAGCCAGGAGAGGAGCCCCACTGACTCCCTTAGGACACCCTTTAACCCTGCCCTGGTGAGTGGTGACGAGTCCTCCTGAAGGGCATGTGGCAGCCTTGGTGGTGCTGTGGAGCATCATCCCACCCAGGAACCTGGCAATTCCAGGGATCATGTGGCAGCATGGAAGTGGATCACCTGCAGCCCTGGGACAGCGCCTGGCAGCTGGAGCCTGGCTGTCCCCAGTGGCACCGGCTGGGCTTCRCTCCCTGGGCTGCACACAGTGGCCCTGGAGCACCCCGAGTCTGTCCCGACAAGGACACAGGCAGCCAGGATGCTCCGTGCCTGGGTCTGGCTGCATCAGGATCCTGCCTCCTGGCACTGGGCTGTCCCACTCATCCATCAGCCATCTGGGAGTGCTCCCTGCCTGTCCTRCTGCCGGGAGGCAAGCCCTGGGTGAGCACCCTGGATGCAGACATTCCTTAGAGATAGGAGGCTGTAGGTCTGTTGCTTCTCCAAGATATATCCTTGCCTTTGGCTTTCAGGAGAAATTTTAGGAGAGGGACCAGCTCCCTGCCTCCAGTCAGTCTCAAACACACCCACCCTTGGGTTGCTGGAAATCAAAATGCAAAGTGGGGAAATAGGAGGTGGAAAGTGCTGCAAGGGCTGGTGATAGGAAGGGGAACAAATGGATTCTTGATCCTGGGTCATGTTTCTTGTGTCCTTACCTGCAGGAAGAGGCATGGCTGAGGTGGTCACACACCCTGGATCTGAGCAGAAGATAAGTAAATGGGTCCGACATGTTTGGTTTGGTGAAATTTTCAYAGGTTTGAGGTTCCTCCAGAGAAGGTCAAATCTCAAGCAGAAAGTGCTAGTACCCTGAAATGAATAGGGGTTGGAAAATTCAGTCCTTGTTTATGTCCCAAATCTCTGCCATTTCCCCTATGGTTTTGCTTTTTAAAAATTCATTCATTACACAAATCTGATTATTTTAACTTCCTGACATATGCTTTTTGTTTCCCCTGCTTTCTTATCCAGGAAAAGGACTTGTTTCAGTCCACAGATCTGCTCACATTCAACAATATTCCTCCTCTAAATGCCCCATTGCATTTATCCTAAGCATCACTGCATCCATGGATATTATTCTGGCACAATATCCAGAATGGTCCAATGTGAGTGAATCTCAAGTACTTAAACTGGATTTCAAAATACACAGTGAAGCTGCAGTTCAGAAGATCCCAGCCTGGGCCTGGAACCTGGAACAGACTCACCCAGGTTGGGCTGTTTTTGTGAGATCACGAGAATGCAGAGAGGCACAAAAAAGAAAAAACAAGAGATGGAAACTGATCAGTGAAGAGAAAGAAAACCTGACTAGTAGAATAAGGGTTTAATTCTGGCTGTGGGTCCAAAGCGCACTTGTGGCATTGATTTATTATGCAAGAGTGGTGCAAAAAGCAGCACGGTAAAGCTTAAACTAAAACCTCATCTTCTTGCTCACCAAGTGAGATTTAGGAGATTACAAATGATGAGCACACAGCCTCCTGCCTTACTCCAGGAGCTGCCAGGTTGCTTCTCCCTGAAGCAAGTGTCCTCCCCTTTACCTTGGAAAACCTGATTTCCTTTTTTCCCCTTCCAGAATGGTGTTAAAAAATAGCTGAGTTAGACCCCAGAACCTTGGAAGGCTTTATTGYCTGGACAGGCAGGGCAGGGAGGAGTTACTAAGGACCACTCAGCAAGATCCACCTTGGCCAAATCATCCCAAGAAGTAAAATGACTCCTAAACCCCACAATGCACACCTTTAACAGGATACTGACAGCTCCACACATGCACAGTACATGAGTCTCCGTACCACCAGGGTTTATTCCAGGGCAGGAGATGTTTGTGCCATCATCTAGGCTCTGCTGGTGTGAAATGAAAAGCCTTTTTCAAACTTTCCTTGTCCCTAGAGCTCATGATGTCTCACCCCCCTGTTGGGGATCACATTAGCAACTCCCCCTCCCCGCTGTGTGGGTGATTCACGTTTAAGAGCAGGCTGTGATGTTTGGGATGTTTCATAGCTAACAGGTTTCCAGCAGAGCCTGGAATTACTGTAATTAATCCTATCTTGATAGTGTCACTCCATCATGAGGAAGGACACCTGTGACCTTTTGGCTCACTGCTACTACCCTGTGCAACAAGYGGGCCTGAAGGGCTCTTGGAAGTCAGCTCCCTGCACAAAATCAGCCAGTTTAGATGTGTGTCACCTGYGGGGGTGGGCTTCAGAACCCATGATCACTTTGCTTTTAAAATCCTATGTGCCGTCTGAGCAGGGCTCATACCCCAGGTGCGAGGACTAATTACAAAAAACAAAATAGGAAAATCCTCTAAGTGCATCCAAACCCATAACAAATTGCTCATGCTGGGCTAGGTCAGGTCCCTGTGCCCATATCACTCATATCCAGCACCCTCAGTCTCACAGCCCCTCAGCTTTTCTGCCATCCATGAGACTTCTGGCAAAGGATTGAACTGCAAATGGATGTTCCTTACATTCAATTTACACTYTCAGTCTCACCTTAGGTGCACCGGGGAGCTGAATTGGTTGTGCTGAGAGGAAGGTGGGGATGCGTCTGCCCTAAATTCTGCTGAAACACTCTCCTGCCTGGTGGCATAAAGACCTAAAATGTCCCTTGGCCTTAGGAAGGAAGGTAATTAATGCCTGTAGCCCGAATCATTTCAATCTTACTCAGTATTACATGGAAGCAAAACATGAGAGATGAAAGAGGRAACTGTTTAATCAGTCAGGGGAGCTTTCCAGGAGAAAACTGCTGGTTGTTGGGGAGTTTTAAGTGGAAKGCACGCACTCACTCCCCCAGGGGGCTGGGCCACCCTATAAAACTGTGGAGACAGTGCCCGGCCCCACCACCTGCTCCAGCTGCCACCGCTGCCATCTCCATCTGGGTAAGTCAAGACAGACTCCATCCCCTTTCCCTGCCACCCTTCCAGCTGCAAAGGRCATTGGGGAAGGGTGTATCTCTGCCCTAAAATGATGGAGTGCAAGGGGCTGCAGGATCTGCAACCATATAACCAGTTGCATCCTGCATGACATTCCTTGCTGAAGGAGATAAATTAGAACAGGATATGCCTGGGTTGCAGGGATCGATGGGTCCCTGTTTACGGAAGGGCATCACTTATATTTTGGGATGGGATAGCTCAGCTCACACTGTATCAGTTTAAGCACGTGCATCTTGTGAGCACCTTGCTTTGCCAAAGGCTCCCTGTCAGCTTGGAGCTGGAGTGGGTTTGCTCTCTATTCCCAGCACCTGGTGCCTCCAGCTCCCCCAGACCAATCTGCAGCTCAAACCAAACTACCCTCATCCTCGCGAGCAGTTTATGGGGTAAGGGAGGGGGAAGCCTTCCTTTGTTGTTTCCAAACCATCTAAACTCACCCTCCAGCTCGCTCTCCCACACCTCTCATTGTGTGGGAGCCGCTGTGTGAGGGTTCAGCAGGGACAGACCAGCCTCTGCCTTGCATTTACAGCCCAGCTCTGCCTTTCAGGTGCACATCCTCGCCGAGCCATGTCCTGCTATGACCTGTGCCTGCCCTCCTTCTGCAGTCCCCGGCCCCTGGCCACCAGCTGCAACCAGCCCTGTTTCCGCCGCTGCGGGGACTCCACCGCCTACATCCAGCCGCCCACGGTGGTGGTCACGCTGCCCGGGCCCATCCTCAGCTCCTTCCCGCAGAACACCACGGTGGGCTCCACGGCGTCGGCGGCCATCGGGAGCTACCTGCGCTGCTGCGGCATCCCCGTGGGCTCCAGGGGGCTGGGCAAGGCGGGACTGCTGTGCCTGGGCAGCGGGCTGTAGGGGGTCCCCGGCGGGCTCCTCCTGCCCGTGCCAGCAGCGTGGTCGGGAAGGACAAGCCAAGCACAAGGCCAAGGCTGGGGAAGAGGACTGAGGAGATGCCCGTGGATTTCCCAGCAGTTCCCACAGCAGGAGGGGAGCCGTGCGAGCTCGTCACTCCAGCCCGTGCCTCTGTAATCCTTTCTCTCACTAAGTCTTTGTATTTCCATGTTCTACAGGGCATTTGCTGCTGRCTGGGCAATAAATGCTTCTAGATGGCAGATGATGGGGTGGTGGGGCGAGGGGCCACCTTGCAGGGATCAGCTTGTCCCAAAGTGGGATTTATCCATTTCTGTGCTCAGCGCTGGAAACACACTTGTACTCTGAACTGGTTCATTCTCCTTCTCCTTCTCATTAAAGACTTGCCACATCATAGCCTGAGCCTTCTGGCGTTCTTTGTTCTGGAGTCTGCAGGGGTGACCTCCTCTGGAGGTTGCTTGTTGCTGCTGGGAAGGTTTGGTTTTTGTATGAAATGGGGGTTCTGCTGCCCAGCTCTTCCCTGTGCTGACAGAAGTGTGTGGTTTGCTGGGACCAGCCCGAAGGCAATTTTCTCAGCCTGGAAACCTCTCCTGCTGCCCCATGGCAAGCACCTGCTCAGGGAGGAATTTCCACAGGTGCAGACTTTATTGGCTGTTCCCTCAAGGAGCTAGGAACACAAAGGTCTGACATTTCAAAATGGCATTTACCCTGCATTTTTGCAGCGATTTTTTTGGGGGGCTGGGTTAAGGAGGGTGGACATGGAGTCAGGGAAAAAAGGTAGAAGTGGGATTCTTGGGAGTTGGGTTCCTCTGGATGGGCATCCTATGCCAAGCTCACCCAAGGTTTAATGGATGACAGTGAAGAATAAAAAAGAGACAATAATTGTTTTATGGATAGGGGACACAGGTATCTCTGGAGGATGTCATGAATTGAGTACAGCCTCTTTTTAAGATGCCATGGCTCATCAGGCAGAACCTTTTCAGCTGATGGGAGGAGGAATATGAGTATTTGCATAAAACTTGTGAGTTTATAAYGAGGGATTATGCCAAGCTTGAAAGCCTGTTGGTCATCAAAAGCCTTTGACCAAGCTCAACCGGTTTTATTGCCCTGGAGACTTTTGTAGAGGTGCTCCTAATTTGGAGAAAATTTACATGGCAATTGCTTAGCAGCCAGAGCACCAGGAAAAGGGAGGTGTTCTTCCAAGGACTACTATCCCAGCCCTGGAAATTGTCTGCAGAAATGGAAAATTTAGAATAAAATTGTCAAAAAGAACTGGAATTCCAGCAAAAGTTTTGTTGGTAAGCTATAGGCCTTTGGCCTTTGCAGCTGCCTTCCTCAAGCCTGCATGGAACAGTCCAGGAGAGAGCAGGTGGAGAGAATAATTACATTTTTATGTAGCTTTGCACTGAATGACTTCACTGGCAAGGTTATACAGATTTTAATTTGTTGCTTTTTTTTTTTCTGAAAGTCCATTGTCTCTGAAAATCTACACAAGTTCCTGATTTGACTTGAAAATGTTGATATCTTAGTGCASATAGCTGGGGAAATGAGTACCTTGGTGCTTTCAGGGCTCCCTGTCCTGAGGGACTGGGGATTGTCTYCCATGGGAGCCTTGACTCCTCTGGGAGCTGTGCCTCCTTGGCTCCCAGCTCAAGAGCAGTCCTGAATTCATCACATTTCCTYCCAGGGCAGGACTCCCCAGACCTGCTGATCAGGCCCTAAATACAGGTTTGTGTAGAGGAAGTGCAGCCAAAGGCTCCAGTGAGAAACAGGGACTTACGTCACAAGACTGGGATGAAAAACAATGCTCAGCAGGTGGAAGCACATGGAGGGAAATAGCTGAGTCCTGGGATTTGGTCCCAGCATTGCCTACTTATGGCTTTCAAAAGTAGCAGAAGCATTTCAGAGAAGAGCCTGCAGTACAGCCCAGGGCCCTGCCTGCCTCCTGTTTTTCCTCAGCTGCTCCATGACCTTAGAGGAAATCTCCCTGGGGTCACTCAGTATCCTCAGGCTCCTGAAGGATGGGTACATTCCTTCCCCAGTGATGGATAAGGTGGAAAGGAGAGGGGAAGTCATGGTTTGAGGASGAACAAGTACAGAGAACTGTGATTGAAAAGGGGAGATTGCTGTGAACAGCAAGCGAGTGGGACCATTTAGAGCAGAGATTTTTTTCTGGGGAGGTTTAGGCTAGATCTCAGGAAAAGGTTCTTCCCCCAGAGGGTGGTGGGGCTCTGAACAGGCTCCCCAGGGAATGGGCATAGCTTCAAGGCTGCCAGATCTCCAGAAGWGTTTGGACAATGCTCTCAGGTACAGGGTGRGATTGTTGSGTGTCCTGTGCCAAGTCAGGAGTTGGACTTTGAYGATCCCTATGGGTCCCCTCCAATTCAGYATATTCCATGATTCTGTGGAAGCCCCAGCCAGCATGGTGCTGGTGACAGGGCTGGGAGGAGGCTGGATCACTGACGGATCAACACAGCACACCAATCAGTCTGAGGCTTCTCTGCACATGCAGGTGAGAAGACCAAAACTGTGGTGTCTCACAGCGGTGGGAGAGGATGAAGAGGCAAATACACCGCCCGTGCCTTTACCGGGTTTRAAAGGTGTATCCCAGACCAGCACTGGGCACTGAGCTGAGGGCAGTGCTGGGAGAGTGATCTGCATCAACAGGCAGCATCCCTCATCCTCCTCAGTGGGGCAGGGAGTGCTGGCCAGAGCACTTGGSGACACACCTGGAACCAGCCAGGTGAGAGACAGAGCCCCTGGAGCACGGAGCCCGCAGGCCTGGTAGGCAGAGGGATGGGACTTGTGTGGCCAGTGCCTGGATGTGTTCAAGCCGGSTAGGATGGCGCCTGAAGCAACCTTCCAGACTGAGGGAGAGAAAGTGGTTGCCTGGCCAGGGAGGAGAGGGCAACACTGAGGCCATCCCACCCCAGATACCCATGGATTGARTGCAGGGCAGGGGCTCAGGGTGCCCTCCCCGCTACGCCTGGGGAGCCAGACAGGCAGTGGCTCTGTCAAGGGCTCTAGTTTTTCCCCAGGGCTGGAGATCCCATAAAGCAGGAAAATAACAGGCTGCCCACATGTGTGAGTCATGGGGAAAGAACCAGGCAAATCAAAAGGCACAGGCATGCCAGTCTGACCCTCCTGGTGCTCCCTGTGGGAATGGGGCTCCCTTGCATCCTGCAGCCCTGTCGGCTCCACTAGCACTGTGTGTCACCCTGAGCCAACATCATGGAGCAGACATTGCTCCTGGCTGTCCTGCCCCCTCCTCTGCTTCGAGCTGTTGCTGTGGAGGGCATTCCTCAGGGAGAGACTGGGATGAGCACAATGAAAATGGTTTGCAGGGTCCTGGGAAGGAATTTGAGTATTAAACTCAAGAATTGTTTGTTATAACATCCCAGGGCTGTTAAATCACATTTGCTGAGAGGTGCCTGCACACTTCCCAGAGAGAAGAAGGGTGATGTGGTTATTTCTTGTGTGGGGTAGCTGCTGCCAGTACTAGGTACATGGGGCTGAAGGAGTGGGGTGTCTGTAGGGGGTTATGAGACCTGGAAATCATGTGGTGCAGTGTTTCCCTTGCCTGCTCCCCTCTACCCCTCTGTGATGTGAAGGSCTGACACTGAACCATCCTACCAGCTCCCCTCGGTCAGCTCAGGGGGTTTGGATGGAGGGAATCCCTGCTCTGGCACAGCCATGTGTTACAGTCAGCATTGGAGGCTCACTGCTCTCTGCAAATCATCTCTTTGCTGTTCTCCCTGTGTCAAGGGAGGTCCCCACTAGCTGGGGCTCCTGAAGCAGCTCCTCTTCCCACCCCAGCACACCTACAGGCAGCCCAACACTCAGGAATTGTGTCCTGAAAAATTCCCCATGTCCTGCCCTGGAGCTGTGCCCCCATGGCACCCATAAAAGCCCCAGCACCACCACCCTGCTGACCCCCAAGGGAGCTGGGAAAAATAAACAGATGGGGAATTTGCTTGTAACTCAGTACTCACAGCTCCTGTTCCTTGTGCCAAAGCCACACTGGGATCTGTGGGGAACAGGACTGGTCGCATATGCTGGTTTGGCACTTTCCTGTGGCAGGATGGACTGTCAAGGGTCAGCAGCAAAGTGCTGCTGGAGCAGGGGATGTAGCTCAGCAGAAGAGCGCTTGCTTTGCATGCAAGAGGCCCTGGGATCAACCCCCAGCATCTCCATGTCCTTTTGCCTCTCCAGACCCATCGCTGCTGGCTGCAGGGCTGCCRGAACCCCTTCAAAAAGCCCTGGGGTTGTGCTGGCATGGCCGGCCTGGAAAYTCCTCCTCATGGCTGTGGGGGTGCTGGGGAAAATCACAGCCTCAGCTGTTATCCAAAATCCAAACTGTGGGACTGGGGAGGCAAAAGGGGTGCAGCATTCCAGACTGTTGGTGCACGGATAGGAATCTCACTTTTGGGTGGGAGAGTTCAATTCCTGGATAAACCCTTCTTTGAATACAACCTCTGCTTTTTGGCGGCAACCCCTCCTTGGGATAAAACTTTTGGAGACAACCCTTTCTTTTGGGACAGCTCCTCCTTTGAGGACTGCACCCCTGCTGCTCTCTGCTGACCAGGTGCGGGACCATCAGCCCTTGCATCCCCCAGCGGGATGCAAACAGCTCTCCATGGGGTGGCTGCAGCACCTCTCATTCACCTGACATTATTTTTGGCAAAAATGGAGACGACCCCTGCAGTGCCAGGAAGATGTGCCCTCCCCACTTTTCACAGCAGGGGATGTAGCTCAGTGGGAGAGCGCTTGCTTCGCATGTAAGAGGCCCTGGGTTCAATCCCCAGCATCTCCAATTGTTTTGGGATTTTTGTTTTCCCCTCATTTCGTCCACGAGGTGGCGACTAAACTCCTTTTCCATCAGGCTTTCCCACAGTAGATTCCCAGCATCATGGCTGTGCCGCCCACCTGCGGCCGCGATGGCAGCACGGACCCCACACTCTACCGAACCCCACTGCCCCGACAGCCCTTTCCCCACCCAGGAGGAGACTAAAGCTGAGCACGGCTGGACGACCAGCCGTGCCCCCTGTGCCAGGCAGCCTCACCCCGTGAGTGACCGAAATCCAGCCACGAGTACCGAAAAAGAAGGGCTCGTCCGGGATTTGAACCCGGGACCTCTCGCACCCTAAGCGAGAATCATACCCCTAGACCAACGAGCCGAGGTGCGAACATCCTCCTGCACCCCCCCCGCTGTCCCGGGACATCCCGGACAGTTTCCCGCTTCCCGGCAAATCCCGGCGCTGCCCCCACCGCCGGCACGGGTGTCCCCCGCCGCGGGGCCGGGGCTGTGGTGGCCGAGGGGTGAAGGGGCTGGACTCGTAAACGCAGAAGTGGTCCCCTACGCAAGTTCGAATCTTGCTCAGAGCGATGGATTTTGC